ATAGCTGCTTATGACAGTATGATTTCTATTTATAATTTCCATCAAACTTAAAATAGTATCCTAAATGTAGAGATTACCAAAATACATTGGTGGTGGGGAGAGGTTGAAAGATATTTATGTATCCAAGATATAATCCTAAACCTGATTTTTGTTCTCAGATTGAGCACATAATATATGGTTTCATCATTTCTGCCAAAGCATATTTATTTAGCGTTATCAATACTGGGGCAAGTTTTATATAACATGCTATTTCTTTTTATTTTCAGCTCATTTTTAAATTTTTATTTCATTTTTAATGATTTTAAAGATTTTATTTATTTATTTGACAGACAGAGAGAGAGAGCATGAGCACAGGCGGGGAGGGAGGGGCAGAGAAAGAGGGAGAAGCAGGGAGCCCAACACGGGACTCAATCCCAGGAGCCTGAGATCATGACCTGAGCCGAGGGCAGACACTTAACCGACTGAGCCACCCAGGTGCCCCTCCAGTTCATTTTTTTAAATTAAAAAAATAAAATAAACAAGAATTTATGCTTTAAAAAAGTCAAATAATACAAAAATACATAGAGTAAAAAGTTAAAGCCTGCCCTGCCCCCATCTCATCCCTCCCTCCAAAGTAAAACACTGCTAAACAGTTTGGTATGCAGTCCATAGACCATTTTCTTTTTTTTTTTTTTTTTTAAAGATTTTATTTTTATTTATTTGACAGAGACAGAGACAGCGAGAGCAGGAACACAAGCAGGGGGAGTGGGAGAGGGAGAAGCAGGCTTCCCGCTGAGCCGGGAGCCCGATGTGGGACTCGATCCCAGGACCCTGGGATCATGACCTGAGCCGAAGGCAGTAGCTTAACCAACTGAGCCACCCAGGCGCCCCCATAGACCATTTTCTATAATGTTAGACACTTACCCACAAACACATACACCCTGAGACCTTACATACATAGATAACATATTAATCATACAATTCTGCTACCAGCTCTTTGCTCTATACCATCCTATAGTACATCTATACTATGCTGGTAGTTGAATGCTCATGGATTTTAGGGTAGTAAAGTGATTGGGAACTTGGTTTCTAATTCAAATCTTGGTTCTGCCTCTATAGGCCCTTGAACAAATTAACCTTTTGTTGCCTTATTTTCTCATTTATAAAGTGGATGATGGGGCTCAGTCGTTGAGCATCTGCCTTCGGCTCAGGTCGTGATCCCAGGGTCGCGGGATCGAGCCCCACATCAGGCTCCCTGCTCGGCGGGAAGCCTGCTTCTCCCTCTCCCACTGCCCCTGCTTGTGTTCCCTCTCTCACTGTGTCTGTCAAATAAATAAATAAAATCTTTTCTAAAAAAATAAAGTGGATGAAAATAATAGTACCTACCTCATAGGATTGTTACAATTATACAAGTTGTGCATATTATCTAAGATGAATGCATGTGAAACACCTAAAAGGGCCCAGTGGCGTAACAGCTGTTTAATGGCATTGTCTTAATATTACACTATTTTTACTGGCTGTAATTGTTCCTGATGAGAACCAATTGGGGTTTTAATGAAATATAACACTATAAGCATTGAAGTACATCTTTTTTGCTTGCATTGAATTACAGTATTTTTTAAGAAGATTTTATTTATTTTAGAGAGAGAGAGAGAGACGGCACAAGCGGGAGAGACAGAGGGAAAGATAATCTCAAGCAGACTCCCCCCTGAGTGTGGAGTCCGACGAGGGTCTTGATCCCAGAACCCCGAGATCATGACCCAAGCCGAAACCAAGAGTTGGACACTCAAACGACTGCACCACCCAGGCACCCCAAATTACAGTATATTAAGATAAAATGTCTGTCATAGGCTCTGCACATCTTCATGGCTTTTGCTTAGTATTGCTTTCCAAAAGGATTATACCAGTTTCAGTACTAACATCAAGGAATTATTCAAAGTTTGTTGACAGAATTTAGAAATATTTTGCTACCTTAGTAGTCATAAAATGGTATTTCAAATTTATGCTTTTTTAAAAGACTATTTATTTATTTGACAGAGAGAGAGAGATGAGCCAAGCAGGGGGAATTGCAGGCAGAGGGAGAGGGGAGAAGCAGGCTCCCTGCAGAGCAGGGAAACCCAACGTGGGGCTCAATCCCAGGACCCTGGGATCATGACTGGAGCAGAAGGCAGATGCCCAACCGATTGAGCCACCTAGGCACCCCTAATTTATATTTTTATGAACACATTTATTCATGAGCTTATTATTTGCCTTTGTTTATTCATTGTATACTGATGTATTGCTATTCTAGGGACTGGGATTCTACAATAAATAGAACAAAAATCTATTTATGGCAATGATACATATGGCTCTATTAAAAGTATAGTCTCTCAGGTACTATATTAAGCCTGCAAAAGCTTTTCAAACAACATAAGCAAACCTTGGGAGTATTTGGCCTTTCTGGAGAATAAGTTGGTATAGTCATGGGAAGGATGAGCATGGTGCACTTTACTGCTCATTTATTAATAATAATGAAGCAATTTATTTAAAGATTTGGAGTAAGAAAGTAAATCAGTATATACTTTCAAAATAATTTTTCTAGGGTTACTTGGCTGGCTCAGTTGGAGGAGCATGCGACTCTTGACCTCAGAGTTGTGAGTTTGAGCCCCATGTTGGGTTCGTAGAGATTACTTAAAAAAAATAAATTAAAAAAATATTTTAAAAATCATTTTTATAATTAAAAATAGGAATATATTTGTCATGGAGTAGAAAGAAAACTTTACATGAGTTTTTAAGATAAAACAATTTTTAAAGAAATTTCTAACACTTGTCCTCCATCATTTTCCCCTTGGTTTTCAATCCCCTATACCTCAGTGGAAAAACCTGAGAAACTTTAACAGACTATTCAAAACAACTCTCGGGGATTGAGAAGTGTGATAATGAGAAGAACATCCCTTTGAGTGTTTTCAGTTTTGGGTGATTACAAATAAAACCACTATAAACATTAGTTTTCCAAAGTGTCTGTTCTATTTGCATTTCTACCAGCAATGCATGAAAGTTATATTTGCTCAGCATCTTCTCCTTTACCGACACTTGTATAGTCAGTCTTCCCCCCGCTCCTAATAGCTGTGTGATAGTATCTCACTGTGGTTTTGATTTGCATTTCTCTAATGATCAATGATGTGGAGCGTCTTTTCATGTGGCTTATTTGCCATTTGTCTATCTTTTTTTGTGAAATGTCTGCTCTAATCTTTTGCTCATTTTTTCATTGCTTCCCCCCACCTCATAGCTGTTTTGAGAGCTCTTTATAATACTCGGAATAAAAACTCTTTTAAAATGTATATTTTGCTAAAAAAAAAAAAAAGCCCAGCTCTCAATTACATTCAAGTGTGTATTCAAATGACTGTGAACCCCTTTCAAAATCTAAAATACCTGCCTTCGAGCTCTAAAAAAGTACTCTGTGTAAAAAGCCTAATATATAGGAGAAACTCTGCTTCCTATTAGAATATAAATAAGTTGAGTAATGTATGACTCAGGAGTAAATCAGAAATCAGTTTTCAAATGACATTACTTTCTCAATTAGGTTAAAAATAAAGTGAACGAGCAACACAATAAGGAATGATATAAAAGGTGTTTTACCTTCCCAGAACCCTTATCTTGAGAAAAAGGAACTATAAAAAGGCGTTTTAAGTTTTCAAAGTAGTGCATGCAAGCTCTTCAATTCACATTTGCACCTGCATCTCTGATTTGCAAAAATTGATGCGTAAAATTTCAAAATAGCAAAATGTAAGTTTGTTATAATATTAACATGTGGTTTAGTGCTCTATGCAGTAGAGCATGTTACCTTGCAAATTTGGATCCTTTACCATGTCGAATTGTTACTGTAATTTACTTTAATGTTACTTGATTCCAGCAGTTCGTAGTTTTACACTTGAAACTTCTAAAGTAGTTAGAACTGCTGTAAACTCCTTCCATGCAATTCTCCCCTCCTCCCGTCTCTCCTGCGAGGGAAGGTCACCTTCTATAGTTGACTACCATACTGATTTATCTGGGCAAAATTTCCAGTTCGCTCCTGTCTTCCTGCATTGTTCTTCTGGATCCGGGTTCAATTATTTCCCGTACAGCGAGCTAAGGGATTAAGCACTGCGAAGACTGGACGCAGACTTGGCTTATTTCCTTTTTCTGTGCCAAGCACGACTCCAGCTAAAAACTTTTTTCACCTGTCACTCCCGCTCATTCTCGATATTCGGTTTCCTACCACAGTCTTCGCTAGTCCAGTAGCTCTGATGTCTGGGCAAAAAATAGCTCACATTTTTGCTTAAACAATAACGGCCGCGCAAATTTTATGGTTAGATTTGTCTCAAATCGGAAGACCGCGCCTCCTAACTAACAAGGCGGGATACACACGAGGAGTTAGGAATGGAGGAGCTGTGGCTGAAAGGAGGGTGCGGGGACTTGCCTTGGCGAGGCCGCCCAACCCCCAAGGACCGTGTCCGCGAACCCCGGGAAGTTTGGACTCGCGCCGCAGCTTCCGGACCCGCCTCTAAGCGAGCACCGGAACTCGCTTTCCCAGCAGGCCCCGCGCAGTGCGGCGCTCGGCGCGCTCCGGGTCCTGTCAAGGCAAGACCCGCGAGCCCGCCCTGCGGCCCCACCCCCTGACTCCCAGCTCCTTCCACGACTCCCGCGAGTTCCAGTCCCGACTTCCAGCTCCCCAGCCCCGCCCTCAGTCGCGCGCGCTCTCCCCGCCCCGCCCTCGTCCCCCCGCGTGCGGCCGCTACAGCCAATGAAGTTCGGGGCCGCGTGCGCAGATTCAAACGGCGGCTCTTGAGGGAGGCTGGGCGCGAGATTCGGCGGTGCGGACAAAACCCTGCAGGAGGCTGCGAGCCCTGCAGAGCTGCTCGCTGCGGGGTGAGGGCGGGGGTCGGCGCCCACCGCAGAGCTGAGCTGGGACCACTGAGTAGAGGCTGAGAGGCGGCGGGAGGGGCCGGCGGAGGGCGGGAGCGCGCCTGCTGACATGTTGAGGGCATCCCTGACCGGGCCGGACCGGGGCTAGGAGCGGCGCTGCGGGCCGGGGGCGGGTCGCGGTCTGCCCCTCCGTCCTACCCTGCCGGGGACGTGCGTTCCACTCTCGGTCGCCTCGGAGAGGGAGCGAGGGAAGCGGCTGGAGGGTCGGGAACAAGGAGCATTCGCTTGAGGCTGGAGGAGGCTTAACTGCGTCCCCGCCCAGCCCGCGCCTATGCGGTACTTGAAGGATGGCGAAGAGGTCGCGCAGGTGGGTGACATCCCTTTCACTCAGGCCTGTTGGCACTGTCCCGGCTCAGATTCTTTTCCCCGTCCCAGTGCTTCCCCATCAGGCCCTCCCCAGCTGGGGCAGAGGTTTTCCTTCCCGCAGCTCCACAGCCTCTTCGGCCCGGCTGGCCCGATCGCAGCCGTGACGTGTGGAGAGTTGGGGACCACTGTGTTTAAGGCGCAGAAAGTGAGTAACAAATGCCCAGATTGATCTAAGGAGTTGATTCTCCCAACAGCGCACGTCCAGACTTCAGTCTCTCACAGCCTCCTCTTGGAGCTTCTTGCCAGGTAAGTCTGCGCTTTCAGGGAGTACCCTACGCACATAAAAGTGCTCATGTGCAGCCCGGACGGCTTGAAAATGGTGTCCGGAGAGATTCTTTTCTTCTGAATTACTGTATCAGTTAAACTCTGATAAACCTGCGCTGGGACCCCTCTGCCATCTTTGCTACCTTGACAGGTAGAGAAAATCCTCTGAGGAATAGCTGAGGAGAGAGGACCTTTTTGATGTTTTCGGTGATTACCATTCCCATGTTCTCAGCTTTATGTATATATTTTTAGTATCTTCTGCTGGGAAGTTGTTACACTGTTACTACCCTAGCTTGATCTTAAAACAATGTTTGATTCACTGAATATTTTTAGTTCCCGTGTTTGGCTCTGTCTGTAACTAAGTGTTGCCCAGAGAGGTAGGGCATAATTTTTGTTGGAAAACTTGCTAGGAGGAATTTACTCATCTAATTTTTATTTATACGTTACTATAGTAGCTACACCTAAGTTGTGTGTAGTAACCACTTAGATGACAAAAAACGAGGTTGTCTTTTGTCAGTAGTATTAAATAAACCTGAAAAGATGTTTGGCAGGATTTCCAAGTGGTTTTGTTTATCTAGGTTCACAGCCTTAAAGTCATAACTAGAGATGTATTTCTTAAGTTGAAATTTAGTACTAGGATTCATTCATTGCAGATTCAGATGGAACAAATATACACTCACATAAACCCACGTCTCTACAACAGGGTTTTCAACCTTATCACTACTGATACATGGATTAGATAATTCTCAGTAGTGGGGGGCTGCCCTATGCTTTGTAGTATGTTTAATAGCATCCCTGGCCTCTGTCCAGTAGATGCCAGTAACACCATTTCTCTGAGTTGTGACAATCAAATGTTTCCAGACATTACCAAATGTGTGTTGAGGGGGGTAGAATCACCCAGGTGAGAATCTCTGCTCTAATTAACTTCCTAATCTTCAGAAAAGATAGATATTAAAGCTCCTATAATTATAATTACTGAGGTACTGGCTTAGGCCTTGTGGATTTTTAAATATACAAAACTTTTAAAATAAAATAATTTCATTAAGCAAAGTGACAAGTGACTATGTCAACTCAAAAACAGAAATTTGTTTATATTCATTGTGTGGCATTATCTACCTATCAGTACTGATGTTAATCTTATTTGAAAGAGTGTCTTAGCTAATGCTACCATCATCATTTAGATATGGTTAGACGTGGATACTTGAATGTTAGAACCCTGTCCTCCAATTGATTTTGTCTGTTCATTTCATAGTTTTTGTATGCTTCATAATAGTAGACTAAGAAAGGAGAAGTGATTTAATGACTAATTTGCCTGTGTACGTTATTTTCTTTTATTCACAATACTGTGAGCATTGGGATCTGAACATTGATGTACTGTTCACTTTCGTTCCTTGTCAGCTGTATGAATTAAAATGTATTATAGAATGATTTAAAAAATCATAAGGCTGGAGTAATTAAATGTGGTGGGGTGAAGCTGTGCTCCCTATGGGAGTATAGAGGTAGAGGATGTGGTGAGAAATTATCACATCTAAATGGTGTATTTTTGGGGTCTTCTTACTTAAATGTGTTTCATGCTCTAAATTATATTTCTTGTATATGAAAATATGTCTTATTTATCTTAGAAGATAATAGAATGTGAAATGTTTTGAAGGTGAAATTATTGGGCAAAGTCTGGTCTCATGCCTTTTGGTTAAATGTCTTAATAATAAATATGAACCTAATTTATAGTTGAGAAAGGAAATAATTTGGTCAATTTAAGATCTCTACTATACAACTACGTATTTGAGTGAAAACTATAGTTTGCTATATAAAAGTTTTGCGTAAGACTATGGGCATAAATCCTGTAATATACTTTTTTCTGTATGATATGAAAAAAAAGTAAAAAAAAAAACTGTTACTTTAGGTCGAAACAACTGGAGGATGTTGGCTCTTTTGATTTTTGTTTAAGATAGCTGTAGTATCTCTGATCTAGATTTACATAAAGGAAAAGGCTCATCTAGTGTTGTGACTTTAAATAGTTTTAGATCTCACTGGGGGTTTTAATGATATAATTTATAGGCAATACCAAAATTGGTATATGTTATTAACATGTATTTGATTTTTAAGCATATTTATGTATTGAGTAATTAATTTTAGTTTTTAAAAGCTAGATCTACCCTTAAAAATAAACTTTAAAAAATGTCATTTAGAAGCTAGAAGACATATTTAAGTAGTAACAGATTCAGGTATTTACACTTGGTGAACTGCACTAAACTGGAAAGGTAAAAGCCAGCTTTTGCATTGGAAAATGTTTTTTAGTGGGTTATGTGTGTGTATGGGAAGCAATTTTACTGTTATTTCCAGCAAAATGAGTGTTATGGGTGAAAGAATACTGAAAATGAACTGATTTTTTAAGCAGCTGTGTCATTAATTAGCAATATTGTTTTAGAAAAGCAAGTGAACTCTATATCCCAGTTTTTAAGTCTGTTGTTCTAGGGGTTTGGATTTTAGGGTCTGTAAAGTAACTTCCAGATTTAATGTATATCCTGTTTTGAATCCTTTTGTAATCATCTTTGCTCATTTAAAAATATACACACTAGGGTGCCTGGGTGGCTCAGTTGGTTAAGCGACTGCCTTCGGCTCAGGTCATGATCCTGGAGTCCCGGGATCGAGTCCTGCATCGGGCTCCCTGTTCAGCAGGGAGTCTGCTTCTCCCTCTGACCCTCCCCCCTCTCATGCTCTCTCTATCTCATTCTCTCTCTCAAATAAATAAATAAAATCTTTAAAAAAAATAAAAAAATAAAAAATAAATAAAAATATACACACTAATGGAATAAAATAGAAAAGTTCAGTCATCATTTTTGTTTATCAGTAGGTAGGTAGAAATCCCTTCAGAACTTATTTCAGTATTACTATTAATACTGGTCAAATGAAGTCAAATTTGTCTTACTATAATGATGCTAGTTTGCAGTCCAGGTTTGGAAATAAAATATTCATGTGTGCAGTACATAATATTACCACCGGGTGGCCTGATTTCACTTTTTTAAATCAACCTGGTAAGTTTTCATACCTTGAATTTGATTGGATTTAAGAAAATGTAGAATTACCCTGTCAAGACAGTTTATTTTTTTTTTTAAGATTTTATTTATTTATTTGACAGAGAGAGACACAGTGAGAGAAGGAACACAAGCAGAGGGAGTGGGAGAGGGAGAAGCAGGCTTCCCACCAAGCAGGGAGGGAGCCCGATGTGGGGCTTGATCCCAGGACCCTGGGACCATGACCTGAGCCGAAGGCAGACGCTTAATGACTGAGCCACCCAGGCGCCCCAAGCCAGTTTAAAATAAAGATGTAATTTTGGATTTTGATAAAAATTTCGGATTTGATGATTTATGACTCAAAATACGATCAAGTTGAAGTAATTTTATTAGAGCAAATTTGGTAGAACTATTGATATTTCTTTAATTTTGAACCAGTGATTCTTTTCAAATAAAAGTAAATTTTTAAAAATTCTCAAATTCTTCCTTTCAATACCTCATTTCACTCTAAAAATTAGTATCCTTTAAAAATTGAACTTCTCCCTAAATGTTTTATCTTAATATAGTCAAGTATGAATAGTTTGTGTATTATTTCACAGGGTAAGTTATGACCGTAACATCCTATTAGCTCTCACCCATTGTAAAGTTTCTCTTAACCATTTTCCTGGCCTAATGAGTCATAGTATGTGTGTGTGTGTGTGTGTGTGTGTGTGTGTACATGCTTCATTTGGCTGTTTCATAATCACCCTAAACACTTTGTTCATTCATAATCTAAAAAAAAACCTTTTCATTTGAATGTAGTGCTAGTTTACATATCAGACAGTTATAGAATAAATATTTTCTTTGACTTAAAAAAATAAAACTGGCAGAGTAATTCTGGTAACCAAGTCCTGGATGAAGATTCAGAAACCAAATTCCTTTTCTATTTTTTGCTTTGTCTCTGGAGAAATAATTTTACCTATTTTTGTTGTCTTCTAGATCAGTCATCTTAGGCTAAAAATGACTGACTTCTGTAGTAAGGAGTTGATTTTATTTAGTTATTATATATTATCATCACTGATTGCTACAGTATAAAAATGCTAAACGATGATATTAAAAAGCAGATAAATAGAACAGATTTTGTGTGTGATGGTGTCTAACCATTATTAAGCAGTGGTGAAAGTAGAATATTGGTGAGATTACGTGTGGGGTTTTATCCCTTCTCTTTTTTATTGGCAAATTGTACACATTCTCAGGCATCTTTCTATTGTAGCTAATGATATTGATAATTTTCTAGGATCTTACTCTGTCACACTTATTTAAAAGTTATATCATTCTTTCAACAATTACTTAACCAATATAGAAATAACTTATGCTAAAACTAAGAAGTGGCTAGGTGGATAGACTCCAGGAAAGTCCCAGTGGTAGAGAGATGATTCTAAGAATTCTACTTTAATCCTCCCTCACATTCACCCACTCAAAAAACCCAGCTTCCTGAACATTGACTGGGCTGTATAACTCTCTGAAACTGATGACCATGCTGATGCAAAACAGAGAATGAAACCTCATGTAGAAATAGAAATTTCTCACAAACCAAGTATGTGGTTAAAAACTAAGGCCAAATTTTAAAGTTGAACAAGTTTTCAGGAAAATGACTCCTCGGAAACTGGTCTTTTGACCAAAGTAATGTCTTTGGACTCCTACCCTTAAGTTAAAATAATTTGATAACCTACAGTGAATTTTGTACAGATTGGACTTGATGTAGATATTTTTTTTGAACACTCAAGATTTATATAGGCAAGTCCCCGAATTAAACATTTTTTGATCTAGAAATAACCTAATTTTTAAAAGCAGTGTCAAATATGCTGTTGTGAAAGCTGTTGGGATCTGAGGGGTGGGAGAAAGGGGGGAACCTGTGAAAAGCACAACTGAGGGCTGTTTGGGATGGCAGGAAGTGGTAATGTTGCTGGGGACAGTTCCAGGAAAGGTTAGGCAATATTAGTAGACACCCGAAAGAACCCCTTCTGTACTGAATATTTTGTTTGTTTCAGCAGGTTATGCTTCTTAAAATTCTACCACTTGGATGTGCATTTGGATTTTGAAAGTCCTTTTTATTTATTTATTTATTTTATTTTTTATTTTTTTAA